CACCCCCTATATATATATATATATATTCAAGTGGGTGAGGGCATTCATAGGAGTTAGAAATTGGCTACCACCGTTTTAGTTCTCCCTGACAAACATGAAGTACATAGGAACCAAGGAATTGATGCACTAGAAGTCATGCACAGAATCTTGGTCAAAAGTGCAGTGTTTGTTCTTCCAGACTCTCTCAAAAGATGAGAAATAATATTTCATCACAACTTTAGCCTGCATGAAATATATTATAGCTATATTTTCCAAAAGATGATTCTATCTATTAATTCTCTTATTTAATTCTCTTGGCTCATACCTTAATTTTCAGAGGAAAAGTTTATTCTGTGCCAAAAAATTCACTTGTAGCTACAAACATTTGTTTTATCAGCATATTACGTACAAATAAAACGCACGTAATTCAAGAAATTATACATACAATATCTTTATCGATCCAATAAGCTCTCACGCTACTTGATTTCTATATTAATATCCAGTAATTGAAATAACATTTCTAGATCTTTAAACAAGAGAACTACGAATATAGAATTACAGAAAAAACCTATAAATATATGTAAGGAACTGCATTTCGATAATTGTAACATTCAAACAGTTAAATGTGCCCATTTCCTACAAGTAGTACTTGAGCAAGAACAAACGTTAACTGTGATCTTAGGTACAGGAAGCATACTGGAACTTAATCATATAACAAATTGAAACACAATATTGATCCTAATTTCGACCATGCATATTTGTAGTTCTCCTAAGATGATTCATATATATATATATATAAAGTTCAGACTCCATGAACTCGTGCACCACATTCAGTAACCATCCTATGAGGACTACTGCAAAAGGAATAAAAAAAAAGAAAACGAGAAAGAGCTAAATTAAACACCACCCGAAGAAACTCAAAATGAAGAAACCTACCATGATCATGGTATAGTTATACTTGATCATAAACTTGTAAAGTTCTCTTCCCGAGTATCACCACAGCCTTAAGGTTCGAAGCAAATCAGTAGAATTGCAATGCTTCTTGGGTTGTAAATGAACTCACAAATCACAATATATTGCCAGAAGATGAGGAATTGAAACCCGACAGATCTCCCAGCCATCCACTTCCGCCGCCATTACCGACACCGCCATCACCACCACCAGCACCATTTCCATCCCAATACTGATCATTCCCAGTAACACCCAAGTACTGCCTTTGTAAATTAATTCCGTGAGAACTATCCTCCATCTTGACAGAAGCGAGTTGAGAAATAATCCCAGAGCTTGAAGCTTTAGTGAGCATCCTACCGCTTGGAAAACCATTATCATTTTGATCAAATGGAAAAAGCCCGGTGCCTGCCGCTGGAGCCGCGGAGGAGACATCAACCCCACCCATGAATGGGAACTGATGCATCTGCTGCAGCCTCCACTGCTCAAGACCAACTCCACCGCCGCTACTCCCAATTTGGTAATCAACTGAATCCAATTGATGGATTCCAGTAAAACCAAGTCCTATATTAGTGGCGGAGTAGTCGCCGAGTGGTTGAAAGTGCGTCATGAAAGGGAGTTGAGGGGGTGGCGGAGGAAGGATGGTTGTTGAGCTCATGCTAGCAGAGGCGGAGGAGGATGAACCACTGGTTGAAAAGGTGGATTTGGATGAAGTGGAGCCAGCTTTGGTTCTCTTGTTGCGGCGGCAGGCCGCCAACGGGGACGTTACGAAGGGCTCCACCACGAGTCCAGTAGCGCCGGCAAGTCTTGCAGAAATGTCGTGGTTGGGAGAGAGAGTAGTTGTTGAAGTAGCAGAATTTGGTGTTGCTGGATTCACAGCGAGGGCACTTGAGGGCTGGTTCAGGTTGGGGAATTTTTGCTAGACGAGCTCGTTCGGCCATGGAGACCGGGCGGGTCTGACCTGGGAGACCAATGGGAAGGGGAGGTGGATCGGCCATCATGGAGGGAAGCTGAGCGGGTTGGCTCATGGCTGCCGTACTTGGTGGCTGGTGGGATGTTTGCTGCATATAGGATAGGAAGAGATGAGAAATTAAAATAGTATATTCAAGAATAGTATTGAAGGGAATTAAAGGTTTGAAAAGAATATTTTCTGAAACCTTCTCCCTTTTTTTGTTTGCTTTTTTCACGAAGAAGCTAATTGCTATAAGAAAAAGAATGGGAAAGAAAGAAAGAGAAATTAAATGAATAGGAGGAAGTAGAGGAGAAGGTGAGAGCTTACCTGGCTCCAGTTGGGTAGATCGAGATAGATGGGTAGAGATGAATACACCATAGCTGCTTGCTTCGATTCCTCTTTAGCTTGTTAAATGAAGTATGAGTGGTTGCAGAAGAGAAGAAGAGGAGAGATAAAAAAAGTAGATATTTTCTCTCTTCATGAACGAAGACAACAATTCCTCATGCTTTTCTTTCGTGAGACGAGAGATGAGATGGTAAGTAAGAGAACGAAAAGGATTACGAGGAAGTAGGAAGAAGAAGACGACGTCGTGTTTCTTAGCCACTAAGATTCTCTGTGGCCTGCTATGCGAAGCAGTGGAAGGAGATTATTTAGTGGATGGCTGCTCCCTGCATATAAAAGTTAGGAGTGGGGCAGAGAGAGAGAGAGAGAAAGGGGCAGGCAGATTGGGAGCCCTAGGCCTAATAGCAGAGAGAAAAAAATTAGATCACAATATGCATTATTACTTAAATAATATCTATATCCATTTAAGTTATTTTCTTATAAAATAACATAAATTTTCATATAAATTATAATAGTTCATAAAAAAACATATTTGTATTTTAAATAATATTTAAGTCTGAATATTTTCATCTTATTTAGTCCTTAATAATATATTGTGAGTCGGGCTTAACTTCAACACAAGCACATATCAATTTGGTGTGAACTTCTTAGTAATCGGAGTTTATTTTTTATTAATCGAATCAATAAATGTGTTTCAAAAGATATTATCATTTTGCTATGAGAGACACAGATCATATCGATTTCAATATAAATGGCCACTACTTTATTAGCTTGATCTTTTTGCTTCGAGTAAAAAGCATGATAAATCATTAGTGTACATATAGTGCATCAGAACTTGATCTATATGCGAAATGAAATAAATCTTACTTGTCAAATTTCTTTTTGGCATTAAACTTTTGGAAATTTAAATACATACAACACAATTCTTATGTTTTTATGTATCTAACACCCAAAATTTGATATTTACACTTATAATAATTTCATCAGAAAAAATTATATATGGCAATATGTATTTCTTTTTTAAAAAGATGCTGATTTTCGTATTTTGGAGATTATGTTAAGAATTTGAGTATTATGCATGTAAATATGATTTTCTACGGTTTTGATATATAAATACATAAGAATTGTGGGGTATGTATGTAAGCTCCCTTTAAATTTTTTGTTAATAGATCTCTGATAAAACTTGGAGTTGTTTTTGAAGATCTAAATAAATAAATCAGAATAGTATATACACAAAATCTATATATGTATGTATGAGTGTGTGTGTGTGTGTGTATGTATACAAAAGTATGTATATTTATGTATATATATGTATATCTCTCAACTTTTATATATATATACATATATATTTATATGATAAATGTACATAAATGTATACGAATATAAGTACATAAATGAATATAGATATATGTTCATCAGTGTATATAGTTATATGTATATAGACATACGTAGGTAACTATACTTATTTATGTGCAAGTATGTATAGATTTATATAAGTATAGATGTACAAATGTTCATAGATATGTATAGATGTGTGTGTGTGTGTATATACATATATATATATATATATATTATAGGTAAGTATGTATGTATATATATGTATGCATGCATGTATTTAAATGTATGTATGTATGTAGATGCATGTATGTACATATATGTATGTATATATAATTGTGTGTATGTATATGTGTGTGTGTATATACATATGTATGTGTATATGTATATGTGTGTGTGTGTGTGTGTGTGTGCGTGTGTGTGTGTGTGCACGCCTATGTCTGTGTGTGTCTGTGTCTGTGTGTGTGTGCGCGCTCGCGCATGTGCACGTGCAACCAAACTTGTTAGTCTTTTGGTAGGAAGAATGTATCAGATTCGGATGATAACAAGTTCCCTTAATTTTTTTTTGTTAAGAGAAGCCTCTGATAAAAGTTGGACATGCTTTTTAAGATCTAAATAAAATGAATCAGAATATTATACACATAAAATCTAGGTATATGTATGTAGGAATGTGTGTGTGTGTGTGTGTGTGTGTGTGTGTGTACAAATGTATGTATATTTATCTATATAGTTGTATATCTCTCAACCTACCTATATACATATATATGTCTATATAGATATTTGTACATCAGTGTATATAGATATATGTATATATAAATATGTTGGTAATTATATATATATATATATACACATATATACCTTGTCTTCCATCAAGAGTACAATGAGGGAAATGGCCCTCTTTTCAAACGTATTTGTAAGAAAAGTGGGAAGATGGCTATCTTTTTTACTGAGGAGGACATATATGGCCTTCCAGAAAGCTATAAATTCTCATTAATTGGCAAATTTCAACTTGGTCATCCTAGAATGGAATTTCTGAGAAGATTCTTTGATGGACATAAATTCAAAGGAGCTTGGAAAGTGGGACTTCTTGATGGGAGGCACATACTTATCAACCTAACAAGGGAAGAAGACTATGCCAGAATATTCTCAAAACAGTCCATGTTCTCAAAACAGTCCACTGATTGAAGGTATCTCAATGAAGTTATTAAAGTGGACACCTGATTTTAACCCTAGTAAAGAATTGTCAATTGTCCCTATTTGGTTTAAGTTACCAGGTATAAACTCCACTTCTTCAACCATAAAGTCCTTTTCAATATTCGCAAAGCTTTGGGAGGACCATTGAAGTTGGATGCTCCCACCTTTAATTTATCAAGGCCATCTGCTGCTAGAATCTTAATTGAAAGAGATATTACCTTACCAGATGTGCAGGAAATTTGGTTGGGTACTGAGCATAATGGATACTAGCAGAAAATCATAGCTGAACAAAGGCCATATTACTGCAACCACTGCAAAATGTTTGGCCATACTGATGAGAAATACTTTAGGCTTCATCCTAATCTCAGAAGAAGGTTAGCCAGATCTAATTCTGAGGAAAAAGAGGCCCAAGGAATTGAGATACTAGCTGATGATAGAACTGCAGCCCATGTTCTGAATTGGCTGGGGCAAGGACTCAGATGGCTCCTTTACAGGAGTTGGCTGAGGTATCTCATAATATTGTTAAAAGTGTTGTTAACCCTAATAATTCTATGCAAACTATTCCACTTCCTCAGGTTGAGCAACTTCACTCTATCTCAACATTACCTCAAGTTGAACAAGTTGAACAATTTCAGTGTACTACAGTTCAAACACCCCCTGTTAAAATTTGGGATACTGTTATTGATATTCCTTTGGAAGATCCTTTGCTCTTGCATATGGCAAAAGATTTAGAAGAGGGTTGGTAAGTTCAGAAATCAAAAAAGAAGAAAATTCCCTGGGAATTAAGGAATCTCCTTCCTTCCTCTTCTTCTTTGGAGGAAGACCTCGCCCTCCGCACTAGCACAGTTAGGACTAGGAGGAGGGGAAAGTCCACCTCAATTGGATGATGAATTTAATCTGTTGGAATGTTAGGGGATTAGCACATCCTAGATACCTTAATAGAATGCTGACACTTAATAGGATGTATAAACCTTGGATCATTGCTATTCTTGAACCTATGATATCTAAACATATCAACCAATTTGTGAGGAAATTCTCTGGATTTCAATTACTTGTTAACACTAACAGTAAAATTTGGCTGTTCTGCAGGAAGGAAATTCACTGTACTATCATCAAAGATGGGGACCAATTTATATATGTGAAGGTTAATTTAAATAGTTATTATGGCTTTGCCACTTTTATTTATGCTGGCTGCTCTTCCACTGCTAGACAGGAACTCTGGTAACAGTTGCAAGACTTCAGCAATTCTATGAGGGATTTATGGTTTGTTGGGGGTGATTTCAACTGTCTCTCTTCACCCAATGAGAAGAAGGGTGGGAGATCTCCTGATATCAATCTTATGAATTTCTTCAATGATAATATCCAGTCTGCTGGGCTATATGATTTGGGATTTACTGGTCCCAAATACAGATAGAGAAGGGGGAGGAGATGGTAGAGGCTGGATAGAATATTGGTGAATGATATTTGTTTAGAGATTTTCTCCATACATCTATTCAACATCTTGCTATGAGTGGGTCTAACCATAGACCCTTACTTATTAATATATCTGCTAACACTACTAAAAGTAAATCCAACTTCACATATCTAAATATGTGGTCCATGCATTGTGATTTTTTAAATCAAGTCTCTCTGGCTTGGGCTGATGTACACAATCACAATTCTGATATCAAACTATGGTTATTACATAAAAAAGTCAGTAAGCATCTCTCTAAGTGGAACTAAGAAGTGGTGGGGAACATTGATAGCAAGGTTCTGGAGGCTGAAAAGAGGGTACTGAATATTGAACATCTCCTGGTCAATGGATCTGGGCCTGAAACAGATCTACATTCTGCTAATGAACAATTTATGGAAGCCATCTCTATGCAAGAGGAGTTCTATGCTCAAAAGGCTAATAGGATTAAATTAAGTGATGGTGATAGAAATTCTAAATATTATCATGTCTGCATCAACTTTAGGGGGAAATGCAATACTGTTCACAAAATCACTACTCAGGATGGACAATTGATTACATCTGCTGATGGTATAGCTTTGAATGTTGTTCAGTATTTTAAAGAAATTTTCAAGAAAGAAATTTTCAAGCAACCTCCTGTCCTCAAGCCTTCCATTCAATGCACTCTTTTTGATAAGGAAAGAGAGTTCACTCAAAGCCTTTCACTCACTGATGTTCCTGATGAGAAAGAAATCTGGGAAGCACTCAATTCTATTGACAGTTCTAAGGTTGCTGGACCAGATGGGTTCACAGCTGTTTTTTACAAAAAAGGCGGCTGATGTGGGGAGGTGATGTTATTGCAACAGTCTAAAGCTTTTTCTGGGGTGCTGATATCCCTAAAATTTTTTCCTCCTCTACTATTACTTTGGTTCCCAAGGGAAAAGCTTCTCATAAATGGAAAAATTTTAGACCTATCAGCCTTACTTCTGTTATTTCAAAGATTATCAGCAAGGTTTTGGTCTATAGATTACAACCTCACTTGAATCAAATTATCTGCAAGAATCAGACAGCTTTTACCAAGGGTAGAAGCATAGTGGATAATGTTTTGGACAGAACCTCTAGAGGAGGTAATATTATTCTCAAATTGGATATCAATAAAGCATATGACACAGTCAGTTGGAACTTTATTGAACAAGTTCTCATTGACAGAGGTTTTTCTCTTTCTTTTGTTTCTTTAATCAATAGATGGCTGATAAAAAAATTTTCATTCAGACTTTATTAATGGAAATTAACATGGCTTCTTTAGTGCTTCCAGAGGTATTAAACAAGGTGA